TTCGGCCCACCCCTCACACGCTTCGTGGCCCCATAAGGGAGCCCCACCGAAGGTCCCAGTGGGTGTGCCCGCATGCGTCCCGCACACACGTTTCGGTACACCCCTCACACGCTTCGTGGCCCCATAGGCAGCTCCACCGAAGGTCTCAGTGGGTCTGTGCGCATGCGTCCCGCACACCCATTTCGGCCCACCCCCCACACGTTTCGTGGCCCCATGGGGAGCTCCACCGACGGTCCCAGTGGGTATGCCCGCATGCGCCCCGCACACCCACTTCGGCACACCCCTCACACGTTTCGTGGCCCCAGAGGGAACTCCATCGAAGGCCTCCAGTGGGTGTGCCCGCATGCGTCCCGTACACCGATTTCGGCCCACCCTTCACACGTTTCGTGGCCCCATAGGGAGCTCCACCGAAGGTCCCAGTGGGTGTGCCCGCATGCGTCCCGCACACCGTCCCAGTGGGTGTGCCCGCATGCGTCCCGCACACCCATTTCGGCACACCCCTCACACGTTTCGTGGCCCCATAGGGGGCTCCACCGAAGGTCCCAGTGGGTGTGCCCGCATGCGTCCCGCACACACATTTCGGCACACCCCTCACACGTTTCGTGGCCCCATAGGGAGCTCCACCGAAGGTCCCAGTGGGTGTGCCCGCATGCGTCCCGCACACCCATTTCGGCACACCCCTCACACGTTTCGTGGCCCCATAGGGAGCTCCACCGAAGGTCCCAGTGGGTGTGCCCGCATGTGTCCCGCACACCCATCTTGGCCCACCTCTCACACGTTTCGTGGCCCCATATGGAGCTCCACCGAAGGTCCCAGTGGGTGTGCCCGCATGCGTCCCGCACACCCATGTTGGCACACCCTTCATACGTTTTGTGGCCCCATAGGGAGCTCCACCGAAGGTCCCAGTGGGTGTGCCCGCATGCGTCCCGCACACCCATTTTGGCACACCCCTCACACGTTTCGTGGCCCCATAGGGAGCTCCACCGAAGGTCTCAGTGGGTCTGTGCGCATGCGTCCCGCACACCCATTTCGGCCCACCCCCCACACGTTTCGTGGCCCCATAGGGAGCTCCACCGGAGGTTCTTGTGGGTGTGTAATTTCGGCACACCCCTCACACGTTTCGTGGCCCCATAGGAGCTCTGCCGAAGGTCCCAGTGGCACAGTCCGCATGCGCCCCCGCCATTCATGTCGGCCCACCCCTCACACGTTTCGTGGCCCCATAGGGGCGCCGCCGAAGGTTCCAGTGGAACAGTCCGCATGCGCCCCCCGCCACTCATGTCGGCACACCCCTCACACGTTTCGTGGCCCCATAGGGGCTCCGCCGAAGGTCCCATTGGCACAATCCGCATGCGTCCCCGCCGCTCATTTCGGCACACCCCTCACACGCTTCGTGGCCCCATAGGAGCTCCGCCGAAGGTCCCGGTGGCACAGTCCGCACGCGTCTCCGCCATTCATGTCGGCCCGCCCCTCACACGCTTCGTGGCCCCATAGGAGCTCCGCCGAAGGTCCCGGTGGCACAGTCCGCATGCGTCCCCGCCGTTGATTTCGGCACACCCCTCACACGTTTCGTGGCCCCATAGGAGCTCCGCCGACGGTCCCAGTGGCACAGTCCGCATGCGTTCCCGCTATTCATTTCGGCACACCCCTCACACGTTTCGTGGCCCCATAGGAATTCCACCGACGGCCCCCGTGGCGTAGTCCGCACGCGTCCCCGCAATTCATTTCGGCACACTCCTCACACGCTTCGTGGCCCCATAGGAGCTCCGCCGAAGGTCCCAGTGGCACAGTCCGCATGCGTCCCCGCCATTCATGTCGGCACACCCCTCACACGTTTCGTGGCCTCATAGGAACTCCACCGAAGGTCCCCGTGGCGCAGTCCGCATGCATCTTCCTTGCCCAGTACAGCGTTACGTGGCCCATAGGGAACCCCACCGCAGGTCCCAGCCAGCCAGCTAGCTCTCTTTGCTCCGCGCGACCCGCGCGCGTCGCTGGGACCCCTCCGGGGCGACCTGCGCGCGTCGCGGGGGCTGCGTGCTGCGTTCTGCCCAGCGCCTCGCTCGCCCGTCGTCGCTCTGCCCAGCGGCAAGAGCCTTGCCCGCTATCAGCCAGCCAGCTAGCTCTCTTTGCTCCGCGCAGTGGACGACCCGCGCGCGTAGCTGGGACCCCTCCGGGGCGACCTGCGCGCGTCGCGGGGACTCCGCGCTGCGCTGCGCCCGCAGCCTTGGACTTTTGAGTGCGCGGGCAAAGGGGGAGTAAAGGAAAGGGAGGAAGCGGACGCGATCCTCGCGGGGGGGCGCGCCGACATTGGCGTCGCGGCGCGCGGGCGATGCCGTCGGGGAGTCCGGGGGAAGCTCCTTGCGGCGGCCACGCCCAGCGTCACGAGTACTCAGAGGCAGTCATTGTCAAACTATTGAAATTCATACACAAGTGCGCCACGCTTCGCCATATTCGCATTCATGCACGTAGACTCGCTCGCGCGCAGATTCATTCACAGTCAGACGCACACAGACAAGGCTCCCGCTTGAAACTTCCTCCATTAAAGCGACCGTGCTTACGGAGGACGGAACACATTTGACCGTGCGGGTGCTAAATTAGCGAATGAACGCCACGGTGCGGAGGGGCGGCGATGCCCTGGGGTGGAGCACTCCCTACGACGGCCGGAAAAAGGACACGTTTTTCGGTTGTTGTTTCAATCGGGGTTGTGATAAGAATCGTATAGGACAAGGATGATGAAACCAAAAAAACATGATAAAACAACGGAAGGAACGAGAATGCGAATCTTCCTTCGCTTTTCCTTGGCTTTTTAGCTTTTCCTTAGCATTTGTCTGCATTTCCTTTGCATTTTCTCCGATGTTCCTTGGCTTTTCTCAGTTTTTCTGAGGTTTTCCGTTGTTTTTTTCTGCATTTCTTAGCTTTTCCTATTTTGTCCTTGGTTCTCTCAGTTTTTCCTTGGTTCTCTCAGCTTTTCCTCACTCTCGTGCTGCTCCCGCTCCGCTTTGCCCTTGCAGGAGCGGACAAGTTCCGTCAGGTCGGAGAACAAGGCCCTGTTTCAACGCCTCGCAGCCCTGGACGTTGAGATATATCAGCAGCCAGCAAGGTTCGAGGACTCGGATATAACGTGCTGGAAACTTGAGAAACCATCTCCGGTCGCCAGCTGCAGCATCGGTATCAGAGACATGGTCGCGGGCGCCCGGTCAGATTCTGCTCTGAACACCTCCGCCGCTTTGGGTCAGCGACCTGTGTTCATGAGGGGTAATATGCCCGCGGCCGTGCAGGTGACGGACACCGACGTGGCCTTATTTTTATTCGGATTCTTATTCTTTTTACAATTCCAATTGGGATGCCATCCGAGGCGGGGTGCAGGAATTATTTATGTTCCTTTCATTTGCGCGGTGCTAATTATATCGTTCGGCGAAAACCCCCCTAAATAATTATATAATTACGCTCGGTGCTAATGATAACGCCGGGGGGGTTCTTAATTGCTTATCCGGGTTTACCCCTGGCGCGGAATCAGACCCAGCTTGTGCGTCTGGTTAGATTTCATCCAAGTGGCTTGCGCCATTCCGCCGACCCCCAGCGGAGTAGCGACGTCCAGGGCGTTCGATAGGCTATGTTGGAGCTGAAGTGGCTGGGTGTTTTTGTTCACGCCCATGAGGGTGCAGCAGAAGAGGATGAGCGGAGGTGGGACGGAACAGGGAGGGCGGAGGGAGGGAGGCAGGGATTTTCGGGGCACCAGCCCCGCTTGCGCGCTGGTGCTGTGTTACTTCCCCTCTGTCGCATGCGGCAGGCAGGCGCAGTGCGCAGGAGCCAGCATAGGCCTGCTGACTGAGTGCCTCCAGAGGCTAGCCTGGCAATTCCCATGGCCCCCCCCCCCGCCCACCAGGGTCGGTTTCGATCCGATCGATCCGGTTCGACCCCTGTTTCGGCTGTTTCGGCCCGAGTCGATTCAGGTGCAGTCGGACCGAGGTATAAGATCGAGGTCGGTTCGGGAACTACCCAGGTCTTGTTCGTGTTTGTTGGATGTTATTGCGCCCTGGAGATTGTGTGTACTGTGGCCGACGGAGGGTCTCGTGTTCATGAAGGATGTTCTTTTGTCCCAGGTCCGACTGTATTCCGACGATCCGTTGCGGCCTGATTTTTGCATGGCGCCGTTGTGCATCCTGGCGCCGCCGATTCGATTCGATTCTGGCTCCGAGCCGGTGCGGTCCGATCCGACACGGTCCAATTTTGCCACCAGCGGGGCAGCCTTCCGTCAGCGGGCCACAAGGGGTGTTCAGCGACGGGTGCGCCGGCAGCGCGCAAGAAGGTTCGGACGAGGAACAACATACGCATACCTCTGCTCGTCCTGGAAACCCCTCGTCGCCACAGCTGGATGTTTCCCGACATGTTGTGCGGGCTCGGGCTACACTCCGGGAGAGGTTCAAAGAGTGGCGGTAGCGGTGCCCCCCGAAGTAGGCACGAACATGGCAGGCAAGCGCCGCTTTCGCGTGGGCTGGCGCAGGGAAGTCACATGAAAGCGCCAGCGTCCTGCTTTCATCGGGGTTCCCCGTTTGTTGAGTACCCATCGCGGCGACGCTGAAACCCTGGGTCGAGGATGCTTGCGAGGTTCCCCGAGCTCGAGGTCGGAGCTGTCTCGAGCGGGACGCCATCAACGCACCCGGATGACCGCCCCTGCCGCTTTGCGGCGGTGGCGTTGGTGGCTCCTGCTCTCCTTGCCCTTGTAATTCCAGGCCCTGGGCCGGGGCCCACCTCTGCTTCTTGCAGGGGCTCGACGTCTCCCAGGCCCTTTCGTCGAGCTCTTCTCCGGGGGCCGCTCTGTGCGTCCGGGCACGACCGAGGCCCCCACGCAAGTCCTCTCTCGCCGCCGCCGACGCCGCGGCGCCGCGGCCGGGGCCGCCGAAGGCCGTCGGCGGCCGCCGAGGGGTCTCCGCGTGGCAGCCTCTCGGCCGCGCGGCTCGCACCGCCCGCCGCGCCCCGCCCCGCCCCGCCTCCTTCTGCAGGCTCCGGCTGCTCAGCGCCCGCATCGCGCAGAGGGCGCTGGGCGACCGCGGCGCCGCCTTGGCGGACAGGGCAGGCCCCCGCGGCGGGGGGAGGGTCGCAGGAGGACGAGGTATACCATACCGCTGCCCCCCTCGGCCGTTCTCCCTTTTTTGGGCCTCCTGGGAGTCCCTCGCCGCCACCGTTGGATTCGCCTCGAAGTTCTGGTCAAAACGCACCCCGGGAGAGGCCCCCGGAGTAGCGGTATCGGCACCTTTGGATTTCCCCAGAGGGGGCCACCGCCCACCAGACCACCCCAACCCAACCCGAAGGCCCCGAGCTGAGCTCCATTTCCGGTGGGGGGGGAGGGGGCGAAACAACAGATCTGGAACCCGTAACCGTACCCCCCCCCTCCAACCCCGAAGGTCGGGTCTTCGGGTTGGGTTGAGGTTGTCTGGCAGGCACTCAGGGGGGCCCCGTGTCCTCCCTCGTGCACATCCCCCCGCGCGCAGGGGTCCCGAAGGGGGTGGGCCCGCATGTTCCTCCGGATTTTTGGATCGCCTGGGGGGAATTTTGTATACCAGAGCCACGACCAGGACCCTCGCTCACCCCCCAGGGCTTTCCCGTATAGTATGCAAGTTTTCCGGGCGGACATGTCTTGCGCGCCGTTGTTGGCCATCCCGGGCCCCCCACGGGCCCTGCGACCGACAGTCGCAGAGCGACACATTGCATAACCATCCGCGCGGATTTCTTGAGGTCTGAGGTCCGCTCGGATTTTTTGAATCCGATAGATTTCTGAGGTCCGCGCGGTTTGCAGCGACAGTTCTGAGCTCCGCGCGGATTTCTTGCATCGGCGTTGGGCCCTCCCTTCTCGGCGCCTCCGGCGCCTCCTGGCGCGCTCCCCGCGCCAGGGGGCGGGGCCGATCCAATACCAGCCACGCGCAGAGGGGGGGGGAGGGGGGAGGGCTTCTTGGAAGCACTCCTGCTTCTTAGGAGGCGCGGGCCTTATCTATAGATGTATGGCCGGCGCCTTCTGAGAAGCAGCCTCCTCCTGAGAAGCCCTCCCCCTCCCTCCGCCCCCTTGGACGCGCGCCGCCGGCAGTGCTTCCGCGCGGACCTCCCAGAGATCTGATCTCTGTGCCGCCCTTGCTGCTCCTCGGCGCACAGCAGCCGACGCGGGGCGAAGAGCTGGCCTCGGGGGTGCCCCCTCGGCCTGGCCCCCCGGTGTGCCTGCGAGGAGGAGGAGGAGGAGGAGGAGGAGGAGGAGGAGGAGGAGGAGGAGGGATGGGCCTCGAACGAGGATGAGGAGGAGGAGGAGGAGGAGGAGGAGGAGGAGCTGGCCTCCGGTCTGCTTCGCTCGCGCTCGCCGGCGTCCCTGCTCGCGGCGCTCGCTCGGTGCAGCCGGGCGCCCACGCCATCGGCGGAGGTCGGCCCATGGCGCGCTCGCTCGCGCGCCCCGGGCCTCCGCGGCCCCGGGCGGCGGGCCCGGGGCTCGTGGCCTGAGTTTTCGCGTGCTCGCTTGCTCGGGCCCGCGACGCTCCAAGCCCAGAGACCCAGCGTATTGAAAAAAAAGACGGACGTTTTTCAGAGTTTTCGGCCTCAAGGGGCCCGCACAGGGCCCCAGGACCGTTCAAAAAACGACTCAGGATGAAAAACCGGTCCTGGGGAATGGGTCGACCCTTCCAGGGGCCCCGTATCGAAAAAATCACGACATCGGATCTTTGGGAGGCGGGCCCGTAGGCCCCCCAGAGAGCGCCGAGACGGCCCAAGGAAGACCCCCAAGGGGCCCGCAAGATGGCCGAGGAGGGCCCCAAGGCGGCCCAAGAGGCCCCCCACAGCAGCCCCATGGGCCTCGCGCTTGCCTCACCGCCGAGCTCGTCGCCCCGAGGGTGTCAGCTGCCCGTGCTGCTCTCCGTCTCTTGCCTGGGGCAAGTTGCTGAAGGATGCGTGATGGGCAGGAGGAGTAATTACGATGGTGAGGAGGAGGAGGAGCATTTGTTGAAGGATATACGTAGAGGAGGAGGAGGAGGAAGGAGGGAGGAGGGAGGAGGAGGATGAGGAGGAGGATGAGGAAGAGGAGGAGGAAGAGGGAGTCAGGAGCAGGGTGCAGGATAGAGGAGCAGGATGGGGGTCAGGAGGACAAGGCGTGGGTGGGCCCGTGGGGGCCTGCCGGTTGTGATCCTCCGCTCCCCAGAGGCTCCCTGATCGACTGCGCCCTTGAGAGGCTGTGCGCCCACGGCGGCCTGGACCCCGCCTGGTGGGAGGAGGAACTTGTCGCCCAGGACGGCGCCAAGGCCGCGGATTTCACACCGTCGTCGTTGCCGCTGCCGTCCTTGTCGGCGTTGTCGTCGTCCTCCTCGTCGTGCTCGTCGTCCTCCTTGCCGTGCTCGTCCAGTTCCGCACCTCCGCCTGCTTCTTCTCCGCCCGTTCCTGGTGCACCAGCAGCTGCTTCTGCGCTACCTCCCCATCTCCCTTCCTCCTCCTCCTCCTCCTCCTCCTCCTTGTCCTCCTTTCCCTCCTCCTCCGGTGCAGCAGAGCTGTGCCACTCACTGGAGGGTGAGTGTGGCGACGAGACCTGTTGGCCCACGCTCTAGCGCACGCAGTGCGCCCTGGCGTTCGGACGCACGATGCACAGGCTTCAGGCACGCTGACACGTTTGTTGTGCCTTCGACCGTAATCTTACGCGCCATACGTTGTGCCATTCGGTGCAGGCACGCGGCCACACGGCAGTCTGCGCACCCTCCGCCAGTGCAGTTTTGGACAGAGAGGTGTGCACGTTCGTCCTTTCAGTGGCAACGGTCCTATCACTCAGGATTCGCTGGTGCGGAGCACGCTTGCGTACTGCCAGTGCGCGGCGGTGCAGGCCTCGCGGTGCAGGCTACCTGTTCGCGCCCACGTGCTGCTCAGCGCGCCCAGGGCACTGCCAATGCCGGGCGATGCAGCTGCGCAAGCACGGTGTGCTATGCCGCATATGCCTTGGCGTTCCTAGGCGTCGTGTTAAGCGCGCTGGGGATGTGCCCGGCGGTGCCAGCACGCGCGCCGTGCTATGCCCGCGCGCACCTTCGCGCCTTGCAGCGCACGCTCGGCATCAGTACCCTCAGCTTTGCGCTAGAGCGTGCGCCAAGGCAGAATGCGCTGTGTCATGCACGCTCGGGCGGCGCCGTCTCCAAGCATGCGCTGTGCCACGCACGCTCGGGCGCCGTCTCGCCCGGCCGCGCGCCTGAGCACGCGCAGTCTTACGCGCCAAGCGCACCTATGCTTGGCCAAGCTCGTCTCCAACCACCCTTCTTCTCAGTGCCTGCCAGCACCGATGTGGGTTCTCCCAACCACACTCTGGCTACAGTCGGCGGTGTCACACGGGATGCAGTTCACAGAGAGACCTCATGTTGGCTGGATCAGCCGGCATGCGATTTCAGCCGGCGTGTCGTAAATCAGGTTGCAAGCCTTTTTCTGCACGCCTACCTCAAGCCACCTGCTCAGCCAAATCACCACCTCAGTGAAAAGTAACAGCTGAGGCACATGCCAGCCGACGCAGGCAGCGCTGCCTCACTGCGCACCGCCTTTCGGTTGTGCGTCCACCACCTGACACGATTCAGCTGCTGCATGCATCCTGCTGCCGGTCCGGCACTTGACTCGTCCAGCACGCCGTCAATTGGTGGGCCGCCGTCCAGTGGGTGAGTTCCCCCATTGAGGTCTCGCCGACGGGCTCAACACTTGGCGCCCTCTCGCCAAGGGCGCGCCCTGTCGGCGCGCACCGCTCACGGTCTGCACCTGCAGTTGAGACCGCGCCTGGCGATCCAAGGGAAAGAGCTCCGCGGAGCTCTCGGCCTCCTTCCCGGCGGGCCGCGCTGTCACTTGCTGGGCTGCCACGTCCAGTCAGTGCCAAGCATCATGTGTTCGCCCCGTGGATGTTCGCGCATTGGTTTGTGGTTGACGGATATGATTATGATCTCCGCTGAACATCACATGGCGGCATTGTTGCAGCAATCCTCCTGTCTGGGCCGAGATTATGTTTGCTGACTGTCCTGGCAGGCAACTGTGTATTCGACCTACGTGTTCATTCTCAGTATGTTCTATGTGTTCTGTCGACATGCGATGCACCGTGTTCGACGAGGCATCGTTTGTCCTCCCTCGCTGCTCCCGACTCTGGGGACGGGGCCTGTCTGCTGCGCCCTGGGCCAGCGGACAGGCGCACAGAAGGGGGGCCGCGCGCCGAGCCGCGGCGCCCTGCGACAGGGCTGGCGCGCGCGCGTTTGCGCGCAGCCCTGTCTGGCCAGAATGCGCGCACACACGCGCGCTTTCGCGCCAGCGGCTGTGCTCCGCACGCGACGCAGATGCACGCCCACGGGTTCATTGCTCAGTCTGTCCCCGCTTCCGCCGCATCGCGCGCCGCGGAGCACCGACCGCCGCTGGATCTTTCGGCCAGAGGACGAGGATGACGCAGAGAGTCTGAGGCTGCAGGATACGGGACAACAAACTCGAGGGCGGGGATGACGACGCAAAGCCGAGGGCTTGAGCAGACCAACGCAGTGGCGGCGCAGATCTTGCCCCTGTGAGCGCCCGGGCTTGCATGTGGACGTGTCGGCCACAGATGTGCGTTCTTGTTGCTGCTGGCCAGCGGAGGGGCTCTCCCCAGTCTCAGGTAGCTCCGACGTAGGTGAACGCGTGCGCGCGCGCCTCTACAGTATTGAAAGGGGGAAGGGACCGCTGCTCTGCCATCGCCCACGTTAGCAGGGCCGCCATGTTTTCTCTCTTGCACCACTGCCACCCCCAATTATGGTGTCTCCTCGTCGTCCTCCTCCTCTTCCCTCCCTCCTCGACTCAAGGGAGCAAAACGAATCCCGACCCCGATGACTGGCCTTTACTAAACGGCCTTGTGCGTTTACTAAACAGCCCCGACCTGATCGATTATTGTCTTGGGTGCATTTGCAAAAAAACGTCGGCTGTCGGGGTTGTTATGATGGGGTGAGGATGGGTTCCCTGTGTTCTACCGACCTCTGCATCCTTCTCCCTTCCTGACCTTCCCATTCATCCCGCTCCTCTTCCTCCTCCTCCGCCATCCCTTTTCTGTATGGTTCGCCGGAGATTTTTGCACCACCTATGATTTCGGTTTTCACCATGATGCTCTCGCATTACCGCCGCGCGCCCTCGTTGAAAACATTTCGAACAGCTTGGCGGATTCAGGGCTGTTGGTCTTCAACATGTGGTTATCGCCTTAGCGCCGCGCACAATCCGCCCCCCCCCTCACACCTTCGACAACCAACGGAGTCCCCACGCATGCGGTGACAGCCCGGCACGCAAGAAAAAACAGCGGCGCGGGTTACAGGGGATAGAACACCGGCAGCGACCGCACAGTTCAACAGCCGAACCACGCACCCCCACAGGACAAACAAAACGAAACCTCGATACGCGCACAATTCCAGGCAACCCCAACGAGTGCACCTCGAAACTGCCCGAGCCCAAATATATCGAAACCCATCTAACGAAACATACCCTGAGGGCTCAGCGCGCGTATTAAGAATACACAATGCGCACATGCACTCCCCCATCCGTCCTCAACCCAAGCAATGTCCGTAGAAGCTGAGTTGAAACAGTACCACACTACACGTGCGAAAGAACGAGAACACCGCCTCAGTCGGCGACAAGTATAAGACACAACCCAACCAAACGCTACGGCTACACCACAACCCCAACAGCTCCGGCAGGACATAACCGCGGCCGTCGTCTTCAACAGTTGAAGGAGCTTCGCGGGTTCAGGGCGGGCTGTTTTCAAAATGTGGTTCTCGCTTGTGTTCCGCGCACAATTTTCCAAGGTGTGCAAAAGTTTCCCGGATTGGGGGCTGGCAGTTTCACAACACGGTTCTCGCCCCAGTGCCGCGCTCATTCGTTTTTGTCATTGCAAGAGCTTTTCGGAGTCGCATGGGATACTGTGCCATAAACCGTGTTTTTGATAAATACTGAATTGTCAAGGCGCGGCAATTACTTTGATTTGCGGCGTTAAAGTCCCAGGAATAGTGTCGTGACACGATTCAGGATCGTCAAGGCGCCAGTGTCAGGTTGATTCGTGGCGTTGGAGTCCTGAGAACGGTTGTCCCCCAACGGGATTCTTTCCTCAATTGAAATGATTTGTTGTAGGGGTCGATGAGAAAGCGAGCTTGGTAGGATGGTTTATTCCAACACCGTTGATGAGTCTTGGGTTTGCACGATGGTCTGGCCGCCCCATTCCCCTCCGCCTTGCTCCGCCCCATCTGCCCCCCCCCGCCGCCTCCCCTCCCTCCATGGCCAGTGCGAAGACATGATCATGCCCTTGTTTAAACCCACCGTGCCCCTGCAGGCACAGCTGCGAAGAGGAGTCCAGCGGGCAAAAGGGGAGGCCCGCGAGTGCGGGCCTGCCGATCCACAGGGAGCGAGCGGCGGAATCTTTGGAAGTCCATCCCCCGAGCTCGTCCTCCAGTAGAGGAGGTGCACCTCGTCGCCCCCAGACCCCCCTCTGCAGAGGCCAAGCGGGAGGGCTCGGGCGCAGACGACGACGTCTACATGTCCGTGACGTTCCGCCTCGTGGTGAAGAACTCCTTCATCGAGGCCCCCGATGTGGGAGGCAGATGAGGAGGGCGAGGGGGGGAGTACGTACGCAGCACCCCGCAATTGTGCACAGGAGTAAGCGGGCGGCGGAGTCGGCGGCAGTGTGCGTGGCGCTGGAAAAGCCCGCCGCAGGCGCCGGTGTTTTCTACACACTGCACAAAGGGCCCGCCGCAGACGCCGACTTTGTCGTCAAGGCAGCCTGGGTGAGTCGCGGGTAGGTCGCGGAGTGGTTCGTGGGGTTGGTCGCTGGTGGGTCGCGGGATGGTCGTGGGCGAGTATGACGACAACAAACGACAACAAACGACAGAAATGATGCAACATCGGAGCCACGGCATCCCACTTCACCCATGCACCCGGGGATTGTGCAAAACCGTTCGGCACCCTCACGCTGAGTATGGAGAAAGAGAATGGACGAGGAGGAGGGACGGGAGGGGGAAGGTCTTCTCCTTGCGGCCGCTGGTGCTGCCGCCTCCCGCGCGGGAAGTTGTATATAGGCATGCGCGAGCACCGCGGACACTGGCCTCGAGGGGCGTGCGCAGGAGGAGGAGGGTGTAGGAGGAGGAAGCAGGGAGAGGCTTGGCATCGCTCGGACGTGTGCAGTTTTCCTTCGGCGAGGACCATCGAGGAGCATCCTTGATCATTTGGCGAGAAAGCCACTCACGAGACCGAAACAAGCACAGGGACTGGACAAAAACACACAGGGAAACCGAAAAACAAAAACACGGGGAGGAGGCGGGGCAGAAGGGCTCTCAGGGTTGCAGGAGGCGGGGCGGCACGCCGCCCGCTGCCGGCACGCGGCGGCCCCCGCGGGGGTGCGCTCTGGCCACGGGGAGGGGGGGGGCCCGCGAGGGGGCGGAGGAGCGAGCCCACGCAGGGAGGGCGCGCGGGTGGCATGCCGCCGTGGCCGCGGCCGCCTCGGCCGGGAGAGGGCGCCGGCGCCGCGGCAGCGACTCTGGCGGCGACGGACCGCCGTGAAGCGGCGACGGGGGAGGAGGAGGAGGCAGGGAGGGGGGAGGAGGAGGAGGAGGAGGCAGGGAGGAGGAGGAGGCAGGGAGGGAGGAGGAGGCAGGGAGGAGGCAGGGAGGAGGAGGAGGCAGGGAGTGAAGGAGGGGTCGAGGGACGGGGATGCGGAGAGGGAGGGGACAGGGCGCTCGAGGGCTCGGAGGTGCCCGTGGGGATCGGAGCAGATTTGGAAGGGAAGTCGAGATATTGCTTCAGGGTGTTGCTTAGGCGCCAAGATGCTCGACGAAAAATGGCATCCAAGATGCCGCAACACACCCTTACGCCCCCTCTCCCTTCCTCGTGAGTCCCTACAATCCTTTGCCACCACAAGGCGCTTCCTTCGAACACCGACACCCGGGGGTGCCTGCCATTCAGGCGAGTGTTCTGTTTTTCAAGTGGGATTGTTTTGCACCCTTATGGCAAGAAATACGGGATGCTAGACGGTATTGCCATGAAGTTCGATAGGGCCGCCTACATCCTTCGGGGAGATCCTCGTCTTGAAATGAAGGACGGCCTCCATAGGTGTAGCGTGTTCTCAATCTGTCATTTTGGGCCGCGGACTTCGAGGCAGCTTCTAGGGACAACCCCGTGTTGAAAAGGAGCCGTCCTCCATCGGTTTAATTGTTGCAGATTTGTGTGACGGACGGGCGCGCCACCAAACCGAGAGCCCTATTTTGAAGAAGAACCGCCTCCATCCTTCACGTTGTTGTGAATTGTTATGATGTGTGCGGTCTACGCGCGCACGAGATGTTTTTTCTCTGTGGACGTCCACCTGGCTGTCGCTCCTCCCTCTTGTTTTTGTTCCCCTTCCTCCTTCTCCCCATCCCCCTCCTGGCAGCCGTTGTTCAGGTTGTGTTCATGGCTGGTTGGGCCATGGGGCTTCTGCCAACAACGCCGTGGCCTCTTTCTCCTGGCCCGCGTCCTCCGCGTTGCTCCTCCCTCCTGTTGCGCACATCCTCGGCGGCACGCTTCGAGAGGGACCGCGGGCATCTGGCTTGATGAGCGCTGCCGTGTGTGGTGGGCAGTTTGTAGTGGCAGTGCGAATCCTTTTGCTGTGCTGGCCGAGGCGTGATAACACATGCTGGGGATCCGTTCTATAAAACCCCGTTGTGACGCGCGTGCGGGGCTCCAAAGCCTACAATCCCATGTTAAACACGAGTCCCTTCTGTCCTCGAAGCTGTTGCAAACTTGTAAGGCGAATTCGCGCGGCGCGAACGCGAGATCCTTATTTTGAAAACGACGCCCTCAATCGTTAAAGCTGGTGCACTTGTTCAAGGCCGATGCACGCGGCGCTAAGGCTAAGAGACAAATTTTAAAAACTAAGGCTAGAGCCCCATCCTACGAAAACGATCACCACTCCATCGTTACAACACTTGCGAATTGCAAGACTAGAAGTGGTGGGGAAATCTCAGGCGAAACGCTCGGCCCGCTCTAGCGACACGTCTGTGGGCGCGACAGGGAGTTCAGTTTGAGGAAGGGTTTGCGAGAGTAGGGGAAGGTGGAGGAGAGGTTGCGAGGGGTCAGAAGAAAGCAAACGAGGAGTTTGGAGCAGGATTTTGAATTCCTTTATCGATGTCCGCGAGAATGCGGATCATGGCTCATCACAATTGACAAACTAATGATAGCAGAGGAAAAGAAAAACGACGACGATAATACAGAGGAATAGCAGGACCGGGGGAGGAGAAGGCGCAAGAGGATAAATATTATTACGACGAACGGCTGGAGGCGAAGGAAAGAGAGAACCGCCGGGACAAGACGCAGCGGTTTCGTTTTTCGGTAGGTTCGAATCGTGTCGATGCGGCGGAGTCCCTGCCGCGGGCGTTCGAGGTGAATCGTCGCCAGTGGCCCATAATTTCCCAACATTGGATAATCTGGCGACCGAGAAGCCGCCGATCGTTCAAGGTTGAACGATCCACGCAGTGTCAGAAACCAATGCAAGGACCGTCACGACACGGTCTTGCCGTACCTCCTCCCTCCTCCACCCCATCCCTCCATTCTCTCGGCGACGACCACGACGACGACGGCAGCGGTGGCGACGACGACGACGAAGATGACGACGACGACCACGACGACGGCGGCGGCGTCGATGACATCGACGACGCCAAACGGCGGCGGCGGCTGGCGGTGACCCGCGGCGGGTCCTCCGAGAGGCCCTGGAGGTGTCCGAGGACTCGGGCGGCATCGGCGTCTGCGACCTGCGGCGGACGGTGTCCGACCCTGTGCTGTTGCGCCCAAGGCCTCGAGGGATCGGCCTTCCCCCGGGGAGGCCTTCGGCTGGAGGTTTCTCGGCTACACGTGATTCGTGGCTGAACGCGATGCGATAGCAGCGACTGGCGCGCTCGGGCAAGGCCTCCCCGCGCCCTCCGAAAGATGCGCACCAAAGGTCACCCTTACCTCGGGCCATTCTTGCGTGTGGCCGAGTTCCGTCCTCCGGAGGCCCGAAGGCCTCGCAGAGCAGGTCCTCCTTCTGGCGGCCTCCTGTTCCTCCTCTTCCTGCTCCTCGTGTTCCTCCTTTCCTCCTCCTCCCTCCCTGTGGGCTTCTCGTTGGCCACAACTCTGGGCTTGGTTCCTCCCTCGTCGTTTATAGCCCCCCTCCTTTCCCCTCCTCCACCTTCTCCTGTTCCTCCTGCTCCTGCTGCTGATGCTCTTCCTCATCTTCAATTCCTTACTTTCTCATCAGCATCCTCTTCCTCCTTGCAATCATGTGAAGCCGCAGCCGCCTCCACCTCCAAGGTGCGAAGCCACCCCTTCTGCTTCCGAATCACACGATTGAGTCATTTAGGAGGTCACGGTCGCTAGGACACCCCAGTCGACGGACATAAAACAATTGCGCGGGAAGGGATGGGTTGGAGGGTCTGGATGTAAGACTTAGCGCAAACGTACCTTGCTTGTCTTTACACGTCTGATCCTTCGCGTCTCACGCGCGTGACGAGAAACACTCTCTGTTGTGTCAGGGCCCTCTGAGTTTCATCGGCTTAAGTTCGGTGTGTAGGGCCCCCACACAAGAACGCATGGCGTAGAATTGCGCCAAACCATGTTGAGTTCCAGAATGCAAGTGGGACAATTCGTTCTTTTGTTGTCAACCAGTTTTCGAGTGACCCAGCCGTTGGTGGGTCAACTGTGCGTCGCGTGCTCCGCAGGGGCGCAAAACCTTTTCCCCCGAGGAGAGGTTATCACTTCTCTGTTTGTGCAATTGGGTTTTTGAGTTCACGTTGCTTTCGGCCAGCGGTCGAAGACACACGGTCGGATAAAGGGTACCTTGGGCGCGTGCGTCTGCAGCCGAAGCGCAAGAGACCCAACCTTAGACCAAGACACTTCGGTGGATTTCAGGGTCAGGTTTCTGGCGGTGGGTTTCTCATGGGAGAGCCTACACTCCTACCGTTTATCTCCCAATGTTTTCGGTCCCGAGTCTTCGTCCACCTGCCCCAATATACATGGCTTTAAGTCAGGTCTGTCCCTCTACAGGGTGAATATTAAACAACGGTTAGGGAACGATTGCTTGACGATTTGTGTTTGACATTCTTTGTTCTTTTGACGATTGTGGATTACTTGTTGTGCCCTCCGCCAAAAACACCGCGCCAGGCACAGGCGGCCCGCTGGCCCGATGACCCCCCGCGTTCTGGTCGCGTACAGTGGGGGCGCGCGTCAAGAAACCGCATGCTTTTCGTCAGGGTATCCTGGTTTTCTTCGTTCCTCGCGCTGCGCGGTGGCTCCCCGCAGCCGTTGAAGGAGCTGCTGCGTTCAGGGAGCAGCCCCGCGCACGGGTCCTCAGGGTCGGGTTTCTTGCGGCCGCGCCCGCTGTGTATGCAAGATACCATTCCTCAGCAGAGCCGAGCGTGGATATCAGTGCACTGGCAGGTGCCCGATCGGCCCATCGGAAGAGTGAACAGACATTGGGCAGGAGAGTGCTCAGGCGGCAAGTGCTTGATTCAGGGCCAGCAGGAGGTCCTTTTCACAAGCAGATCGACAGGCTGCGCAGTGATATTGCGCCCATCCGTCTCTCAGAAGAACATGCGTAGGATGTTGGCCAGCCCCCTTCCGGGGCTTGCGGCGAGGCGGTGTTTGTCCGTCTCGTGCGAGACCTGCTGGACATCGCGATCGTTCTGTTCTATCTTCCCCCATCGGCCGAAGCAAGCGAAAGAGACCCCGAGCTACCTGCAGACGGCCAAGGTCCTTATCGACTGGCACGAGCCCGTACTTCCAGCTGTCCAGTTTAAGAAGACTCGCCATTTTGTGCGAAGATGCGCACGACGGCTAAGGCATCAGCCGCGCGATTGGCTCATGCTAGAATATGGACACCACCGCAGTTGGAGCTGGCTAGCGATTACAAACGATATTTGAACAGCATCTTATCTTGGGATTGAATGCTCGACCGGCTGACCTTCTATCCATTTTCTTTGTCTTCCTTCGGTGGACAGAGTTGCGTCTTTGCGCCCTGTTGGGCACGGCGGAACTGATTGAACAATGCCATCTTTTGCGCAGACTTGGTGTTCTATTCAGGCTCATCGTGGGCGCTCCCACGTGTCAGTGTGAAAACTGAAGCGGAGATGGCGCGCGCAGCAAGCTACGCTCTGAGGGAGAAGGCCGCCCGCCCACAGTGGAACATGGGCGCCATCATGGAAGCCGTGCGCCGCGGGAACAACATGCCCGACTGTCTCAGAGTTGCGCATGCCAAGTTGCTGGCAGACGCAGATGCGCGGAGACCGCTGATGGCGCGAGGGAGACCCGGCGAGACCTTCGAGCACTCGAAGGCGACCCTCGCCGTGGCGGGACAGCGGCTCCACAGACCAACGGCTTCGACAGGCGAGAGGCGAGACGCGCCGGCAGGGATTGGAACTGCGCGAACGGCCGCTGCGAGACTGGGCCGACTTGGGGCCGGCACGGGATGGCGCAGATGACGAGAACACTTGTCTGCACGCCCGAAATGGGTACCGAAAGAATGGTTACTATGCCCAACAGCAGTTCCTGTTCATTTTGAACAGGGCTCGCTGTCCGCGCCGCCGCGGCCTGTGTCCATTCGAGACAGAAGGCCGCCTGTCCAACAGCGGCCGCTGTTGGTTTGGGACAACATTTGTTTTTGGGCATTGTACCCATTCTTTCGGTACCCATTTCGGGTGTCCAAAACTTGGATTGCGAGGCTCACCCCGCGCGAATCCCGCGCGCGCAAGGGGGGCGGCGAAATGGGCACCTGCCAGCGTGCGATCGCGCCCGGCGGGGCAGAAGTTGGAGGGGATTACGCTCCCATGGAAGCCCCTGGAATCCCGTGGAACTACAAGGAGTCCTCAGGAAACGTCCATAGTCCCCCAGAATATCCAAGAACCCTGCGGAATCCCCAGGGAACCAGAAGGCCTCTAGGGCCCCATAGGGATCCTGCGGAGTCTTTCGGATTCCCAAGGAATCCTCAGAAAAATCTGGAAAGATCCCGAAGGACGAGTGCGAGTCTTAAGGGGCCTGGCGGACTCCTCCAGAATCTTTCGGAAACACAGGGTCCTCCTGTTTCAGGAATCCTTGGGCAGGTAAAAGAGTCCGTAGGAATGCTTGGGTTTCCTCTCAGATCTTGCGGCGCATGGTGGAATTTACAAAACGCAGAGGATTTCCGCGAGGAGCCTTAGGGATCCAGGGGAATATTGGGGCACCCTGCGCAGGTTGTTTTGGGATTCGGGAGGTTGTTGGTCATAGTGGTGATCGATTCTTTTGGAGTCTCCAGGAACCTGGAGGACGTGTGGGAACCCAAAGGAATCCGTAGAAATGTCCGAGAAGTCCCCGAGGGTCCCTCGAGGCCTTCTCGAGTCCTTCGGGGCCCCTGCGAAACTTCAGGGACCTTCGGCATTCTGCCGGGTTCAGAAGAATACGGACGAAGCCGAGTAGAACCGTCAGGCCCCCAAAGAATCCCCTTGGATCCTTTGGAATCTTGGCGCTTCCATCATGTGGAATAGTTGTCTGGCTCGCGCAGCGTCCGCTTGCAATCGAGAGTCCAGCAATGTTCGCGGAAAGTCCGACTTGGGGTCGGTTGGCCGCGTGCTTTTTCAGTGCGTATGTACCCTCTTCCTCTTCCTCCTCCTTCCTCCCCCCCCCTCCTCATCTTTTCTTTCCTCTCCTCCCCTCTCCTCTCCTCCCCTCTTCTCTTCCCATCCCCTCCTCCTGTTCTTCTTGCTGCGAACAGGCCTCGAACATAGGGTCGGTTCCCGTGCCAGGTCTTGCCTGGCGGCCAAGGGCCGCGGCGGCGGCACCTGGTGTTCCCGAGAGCCGCCGCGAGCTCGTAGGCTCTTTGGGCCCCCCAGCCGCCACGCGCGCGGCGGCCGTGCTTTCTTCTGCAAGCGAAAGTGCAAATCTAGAGCAGCAGGAAGGCCCGCAACCGCCGCGCGCGCGGCGGTCCTGTCCTCGTCTGCGTGGAACGGGACCCGCAGGAGCCTCCGCGCCCGCTGCGGGTTTGGAATCCCCCGCTGCCGCCCGCGCGGCGGCCCTGATGACATCTCCGGCATGAAACCTATATTTCGGGATCGGCAAGAGCCGCCGCGCGCGCGACTGCTTTTGCGCGGGGCTCTTGGGGGCCGGCATCCGCCGTGTGCGCGCGGCGGCATTGCCCCCTTCATCCTGCACAACACCATCCAGGAGTGTTGCCGTCCGCCCCGTGCGCGACGGCCTTCTCCTTGCCGGGTTGGGGCACACCACCCGGGAGCACCAAAAACCGCGTCGTGCGAAGCGGCTCTTGGGGCTCCCCAGCCGCCGCGCGCGCGGCGGCCCTGCCTTCTGCGCGGAACAATACCATCCGGGAACAGCCAGAGCAGCCGCGAACGCGGCGGCTCGTGAGGGCCAACTGGCATGCAAAAGATGGCAGGGCTGCCGCGCGCGCGGCGGGTGGGGGGCTCCCAAAAGCCGCCGCGTGCGCGGCGGTTCCTGGTGTTCCTTGGTTCCATCTTTCCACGCAGAAGAAGGCAGCCGCGGGTGCGGCGGTGTTTGGTTTTGTTGTTGTTGTTGTTGTTGTTGTTGTTGTTGTTGTTGTTGTTGTTGGTGTTGGTGTTGGTGTTGGTGTTGGTGTTGGTGTTGGTGTTGGTGTTGGTGTTGGTGTTGGTGTTGTTGATGATGTTGTTGTTGTTGTTGGTGTTGGTGTTGGTGTTGGTGTTGGTGTTGGTGTTGGTGTTGGTGTTGGTGTTGGTGTTGGTGTTGGTGTTGGTGTTGGTGTTGGTGTTGGTGTTGTTGATGTTGTTGTTGGTGTTGTTGCTGCTGTTTCCTGGCCATATATGTATAACAAAAAACGCAGGACCATGCAGCGGCGACGGACGGCGGTGCCAGGAGGCGGCGACGGGAGGCGACGGCGGCACAAAACGCGCCCAAACCACCACCCAGGCCCATAAGACGGGCGACGACGAGGCAGCGACGGGGCGGTGAGGGCGACTACTCAGCCGCCGACCCGGCTTTCATGCCTAGATGACGGGTGGCGGCGAGGGAGGGGGCGACGGGGCTGCGACAGCGAGCGCATAGCCACAGAACCGACGATTTTCAGGGCAAGTTCGTTGGAACAGTACGGGCACTGTTTAGGGCATGTTCGACAAACGCCGGGTTTTCTCCAGGAATTCCCCTCCCCCCCTGTCCTCCCTCCCTTCCCCTCACATGCCCCCGCCCCCGCCCCTCCTTCGGGGGCGGCGTGGGCCTCCTCGTCCTCATCTTTCTCCTCCTTCTGCTGCTCCTCCTCCACCTCCTCCTCCTTCTTCTTCTCTTCTTCTTCCTCCTCCTCCTCCTCCTCCTCCTCTTCTTCCTCCTCCTCCTCCTCCCCCACCTTCTCCTCCTATTCCTCCTCCTCCTCCTCCTCCACCTTCTCCTGCCAGTGCGAAGCCGCGTGCCCCGTGCGTGCCCCGCGCATGCACCAATCGGGCGGGCCCCAGGGGGCAGTCCTCCGGGGCGCGCGTTCGGGGTGCCACCCGCCACCCCGTTGCGCTGGCCCGCAGGCTCTCCCGGGCGGTTGGCGCTCGCAGCGGGATGGACCTTTCCCGAAGGCCCCCCCACATCGACCACACGCTCCCTCCTTCTTCCCCCCGCCCTGTCTTTCTTCGACCCCTCCTCTCTCTCCTCCCGTTGTTCCTTCTCCTTCTCCTCCTCCTCCTCGTCCTTCTCAGCCAGTGCCTCCTTTTCTTCTTCCTTTGCATCACATCCTTCTCCTTCTCCTCCTCCTCCTCCTCCTCCTCCCTCCTCCTCCTTCTCCTCCTCCTTCTGTTTTTCCCCCTCCTCCTGACCTCCTTGGCCTCCTCCTCCTCCTTCTCCTCCTTCTCCTCCTCTTTTTGCACATTCGACCAACGTAGGAACGAGCCTGTCGCGTTTATCCTCCTCATCCGCCTCCTCCTCAGCATCCTCCTCCTTGGCATCCCCATCTTCCTCGTCCCCCCCTCCCTCCGCCGATCGCTCTTCGGCAGGTGTGGCAGTGGCAGCAGCTCCAGCGGCGGGGTGGCGTGGCCGCCGCCGGTCGACAGGCGTTCGGGGGGGGTCTTTGCTGTAGGCTCTCGCCCTGGCCCTCCTGACCAGAGGAGTAGGAAGAGGAGGAGGAGGAGGACGACGACGACGAAGACGAGGGAAGGAGAGAAGGGCAGGAGAAAGAGGATGGGGGGAGGAGAAATGGAGAAAGGGATAGCAGGAGGACATCATACGACATCCTCCTAGGGATATGGGGAGGGTGAGGAGGAGGAGAAGGAGGAGAAGGAGGAGGAGGAGGGTGGGGGAGGTGGGAAGGATAGGAGAAGGAGGGGACACAGAGCGAGGGGAGGGGGAGAGGGATGTGGGAGGGTGGGACGGGGGGAGCGGGATTGGGAGGAGGACAAGTAGGAGGAGGGGTTGAGCGGGATGGAGGGAGGGAAGAAGAAAACCAGGAGGGGGAAGTGAGGCAGCCAGGGAGGAAGGGAGAGAGGGTGAGAGGGAGAACGAGAGAGTGAGAGAGAACGATAACAATAACGAGAACGTGAGCATCACCACAGAACATAGCGAACGAGCGACAGACCGAGAGAGAGAGAGAGCGAAAAAAAAAACAAAACATCAACAACGAACATAGCGAATACGAGACAGAACGAGAGAGCGAGAGAGGGAGAGAGATATATTCAACGAGAACGGGAACATCAACGGGGACGCTAATGATCATGAGAGATAGAGGGGAAAGAGAGAGCGAGCGAGAAAGACATACACACAGCCATACATTATTCATTGTAAGAGGCAGGGATTGGGGAGGAGAGAGGAGGGCGAGAGAGAGGGATATGAGGAGGAGGGAGAAGCGGATCATGAGAAATGGGAGCGAGAGAGGGAGGAGGAGGAGAGAGAACATCCCTGCCTATGCCTGTTTTTATTCGGGACCTTCGATTGGTTTCATGTTTTTGCACTCTCTGTTAATATGGCTCAAGAGGTAGAGGATACTGAGGAAGGAGGGGGTGGGCGAGAACAAGGTAGCTGCGCTCGCATCATGTCTGATGTCCTACCCCTCCTTCCCGTCCCTTCCATTGCGCTGATGTTTTCTCTATCCGCGGACGCGTCATATCGGACCTCAGACTCCCAGAGGAAGGAGGAGAACGAAGACGAACAGCACCAGCAGGAGCTGAAATGGCAGGAGCAGGAGGGGCAGGAGGAACCGGGAAAGGCGGTAGAGGGAACATGGGGGTGGCGACAACGATGAAAAATGATTCGCATCCACAAAAGTGGCCTGCGCTGTGGCGAGAGTTGTGGCAAAGCGCCGATCCGAAAAGGACGCACACGCTTCAGCGTGAAGACCGTTGTGAAACTCCAAGCACGATTGGAGCTTCAATCCACGTAAGGGAACACAACGTTTGACATCTTGGCTTGTAGAAGAATCAGTACGCGGAGGGGTGTGGAATGCCCCAAATGCGCCTTCGGGAGGAAGGAGATTTGCATTCAGATGGCGTAACTGTTGAGGGTGATGAGAATGGTGGTGAAGGTGATGATGGCGATCCACTGTGGTGATGTGAGTGATGAGTATGCGGGTGTGTGCTGTTTTTAATGATTCTGGTGGTGGCGACGAGTACGAGCATGAACATGTTTACACTATAAGTCACAGTCCAAGCACTTGGACGTTGATGCTGAGAGAGTCCGCATACATGAAAACAGCACCCTGGCAAGCACGACGCAAAGTGCGTCCCCCCAGCGGTGTTTGCGGGGGCTCAGGGGGGAGGGCAAGCGGTGCAGTGGATGGCCCGAGGGCCAGGTTGGGGGCCCCCCCACGGGCCCGACCCGGCTCCCACTGCCCACATCCCACAGGCCCTCGTCCATGGCAAAAGCGTAGTGTGTATGTTGCCGACAGACTGGCACACTTTCGAAAGCATGAAACATCTTCCCAAATTGACGAGTGTCATTCGTCAGGGCGCCTGCAGGCTGGACCATAGCGCAAGGCTGCACGGGGACCCTACTGCGGGGTCGACGACCCCAGGGGGCCTGTCAGCACCCCCCCACCTTGCGCCGGAGGATCGAGTGACAACTAGTTTGGAGGAGCACTTTCGGGCCACATGCCTGGACAGGTGACTCTGCAGACCTCTTTGGCCTCGCAGTCTGCGACTCCTGGGGGGTGGGGGGGAGGCGACGACGCCTGGCGCACCCTCCAAACCTGGGCCCACGCGGCGGAGACGGCGACTCTACCATCCCACACCACCTCGGCCAGCCGCTGACCGTCAGGCTATCGCACACATGGATTAAGGAGGCGTGGATTAGCGACGGGTCCCGTTTCCTTGGGAAGTCGCGGATTGTCGCCGCCGAGCGAGGCGGCACCGGCCGCATTTTGGGTAGGGCACCTCCCCCGATCCATGGATTTGGCGACCGCGTGCCAAATCCATGGGTTGCTAATCCATGTTTGCGCGCCCCCAAGACTCTCGCGCTCGAGCTCGTGGTGCGGCTGCGGAGCTGACGCCGTTGCGATAGTCGCGGCCCATCTCGTTTCTTGGGCGGCTCCGGGAGGCGCGAGGCTCCACGATCGAGGTAGCCTCGTGGTGCCAGACCCCATTGCCAGATGGCGCATGAGGATGGTGAGGCAAGTGATGTTGGTGATGAGTAGGAGTATGCGTTTGATTATGATGGCGATGATGATCATGATTTCGATGATACAAGTGATGCTGATGATGCTGATGAACATGATGATGATGATGATGATGATGATGATGATGATGAAGATGATATCGATGATGATGATGATGAGGAGGAGGAGGAGGATGAGGATGAGGATGAGGATGATGATGATGATGATCATGATCATGATCATGATCATGATCATGATGACGATGCTGATGTTTATGATGACGGTGGTGATGATGATGATGGTGGTGGTGGTGATGACTAGAACGTTGATGATGAGGATGCTGATGCTGATTATGATGATGAACATCATGTTACTGCTGATTTTGATGATGCCGATGAGGATGAGGATGTTAACGATGACGATGATGTGATGATGATGAGAATTATGACGATGGTGATGACGAGAACTATAACTACAAATATGCTGAAGATGATCATGATACTGACGTTGATGATGATGATGATGATGATAATGATGATGCTTGTGATAATGATGTTGCTAACGGCTATGCTGATGCTGATGCTGCTACTGATGATGATGATGATGATGTGATGATGCTGCTGATGCTGATGCTCATCATGATGATGATGATGATGATGATGCTGATGCTGATAAGTCTGATGATGTTGATGACGATGATGATAATGATGACGATGATGCTGATGATGATGAGTCGGATGATGTTGATTATGTTGACGATGATGATGATGACGATTCTGCTGATGATGCTGATGCTGATGCTGATGATGAGGATTATGCTCCTGATGATGATGATGATGAAGATGATGATGATGATGATGATGCTTATGATGATGCTGATGATGTTATGATGATGATGGTGCTGATGCTGGTGCTGCTGGTGATGATGATGATGATGATGGTGATGCTGATGCAGATGAAGAGGATGATGATGATAGTGATGATGATGATGATGATGATGAAGATGATGATGATGATGATGATGAGATGATGATGATGATGATGATGATGATGATGATGATGATGATGATGATGATGATGATGATGATGATGATGATGATGATGATGATGATGATGATGATGATGATGATGATGATGATGATGATGATGATGATGAATGATGATGATGATGTGATGATGATTGATGATGATGATGATGAGAAGGAGGAGGAGGAGGGAGGGGAGGATGGAGCAGGAGGAGAAGGAGGAGGAGGAGGGCAGGAGGAAAGGAGGAGAGAAGGAGGGGGGGGAGGGGGTGGCGGAGAGGAGGAGGAGGAGGAGGGAGGAGGAGGAGGCGGAGGAGGAGGAAGGAGAGAGGAGGAGGAGGAGGGGAGGAGGAGGAGTGGAGGATGGGCAGGACGACGCTGATGACGACGAGTATGAGCAGGAGGAGGGGTAGCGTTCAGCGGATTTGGCGAGGTGAGGACTCTTCAGCTTCCTTCGCTACTCTCCAGCCTCTTCTTCCTCTTGTTCCACCATGTCCTTCTCTCGCTCCTCCTGCTGGCGTGAGTGGAGTTCTCGGGGGGTAGGTTTCGCCTCGTCGGTTTTGCTGGGGTCCGTTCGCCGGCGGTGGTTTTCGCTGGGGTCGATTTCGCCGGAGACTGTGTCGAGCGTTGGCACGTGCGCCTTGCTGGCGGGTCTGGTCGGGCGGGCGGACCCTGGCGGGCGGGTCGGGTCGCGCGGGCGGGAAACGAAAGCATGATGCATCCACGAGTTGGCACGCGTGCCTGGCGGGCGGGTCGGGTCGGGCGGTCGGACCTTGGCGAGCGGGTCGGGTCGGGCGGGACGGCGGGCGCAACCTACTGGTCGAAACCGACCGTGCGATCTCGCCCGCGGGCGAAACAGATCGGGCGAAGGCCGGCCGCGGGCGAACCCCACCGGGCGGAGGCGACCCCAGCGAAACCGACCGGGTAAATCCGACCGGCACCCACCATTCTCTTTGTCTCCCTCCTGCCCCATTCTTCTTGTCCCACTCATCCTCATCCTCATCTCCCTCCCCCTCCCGCCCTTTCTCCTCCTCCTCCTCCTCGTTCTCCTCTTCCTCCACCTCCACCTCCTCCTCCTCCTCCACCTCCACCTCCCCACCATCCCTCATCCCGATGATGCTCCTGGTCCCTCCTTCCTCCTCCCCCGCCCCGTCATCAACCCTTCGGATTCCTTTCTGCTCATTCCTCCCCCGTCCTCGTGCCCACCACCTCTCCGCCCGACCTCACGCCCCTACTGCTCCTCGTCGGCCCGTGCCGTTGTCCCCCTGGGGGGAGGGGCAGCAGCAGCACGATGAGGAAGCCTCTGGCACATTCAACCCTTCGGATTCCTTTCTGCTCATTCCTCCCCCGTCCTCGTGCCCACCACCTCTCCGCCCGACCTCACGCCCCTACTGCTCCTCGTCGGCCCGTGCCGTTGTCCCCCTGGGGGGAGGGGCAGCAGCAGCACGATGAGGAAGCCTCTGGCACATTCGCGCCGTGCTGGCGCGGGAGCGACCCCGCCGCGGGCGTTTAAGGATGAGCGCCGACAGTCACTGAGCATACTCGCAAAGTGCCTACTCGCAAACGTCCGAAATATACAGGTCTTCCTCTAGGTAATATATCGTAAATCCCCCGTGGCGGATCCAGGCCATTTGCGAGTAGTTGATTTGCGAGTAGTGGAACGCGCTTGTCCAAACAGTGGCCCGGAATCGGCCAGTGTGCAGCAATCTGGCGATCGAAAGGCCGCTGGTCGTGGAGGGTGGAGGCCGCGTGCAGGAGGAGCAGGAGGAGGAGGAGGAGGAGGAGGGCGGGTCACGCAGTCTGCTGCATGCACCTGTTTTCGGCCCCGCCGTCGGGCCCACGCCTCTCGGCGCCGGGAGGCGCTGGGAAAATCTGCTGCGTGAGCTGAGTCTCTACCCTGCCCTGCGCTATCCCCCCCCTGTCGTTCCCCCCGAGAGGGGCGGGAGGCGCCGGAGCAGCAGGAGGAGCATCGGCGGTACTCCCTGGGTGAGCTTCCCTGCCCTGGGTTGAGTTCCCCCTCGCCCTCCGCCCGCTCTGGGCCCCAGCGCCGGCGGGGGCGCGACTGCCTCTCCAGGCCTGGTCAGGAGCGCCAGCATCCACCGAGGCCAGAAGCCAGCAGCACGCGTGCGTTCAAGTCGGGCCTGTCCTTCTCAAGGAGGAATGTTCAAGAAGACTAAAGAAATAGTTGTGTGACGATTTGTTTTACAATTTTCGAGTAATTTCGAGCATTTCCGGGGTACCGTTGATTTTTCCTCCACAATCCTCCTGCAGGGGGACGCGCCCGACCTGAGCGTGCGTCCGCGCGGGCAGGCTCCGCCCTCTTGCATCTGAGCGCCGCCGCCCGTGCGCAGCGTGATCGCGGAGGGCTCCCGTGCACCGTCCGCCCGCTGACGGCCGGTGACGTCGGGCCTCGCGGCCCCAGATCTGCGCCGAGCGCCGTCCTGCTGCAGCCGAAGGGTTACGATGTTTCTGCTTCAGCCTTGACCACCGAAAAGAATCTCGGGCACCAGGAAAACACCGAAACTGGAGGGCTTTCGCGTGTCGGGCCCCGGGAGGCGATACTCGTTCGACACTGTTTCGACACTTTTCTGGGTGCTCGAAATTATTTCTGGGATGTGGTCCTTAAGTAAGATGGGCACAACATAACCGAAGGGGTTCCCTCTGGCCTTGCCGTTCGGGGGCCGGCCGATGAGTCTGGCTTCCTCTTCCGAGCGACTTGTACGCGGTCAGCTCGCACCCGCCTGCGTTTAAGCGGTAAGCGTTGTTACCCGCGCGCGCGATCGCGGAGGGCGCAGTGCATGTATGGTGCGCTCGCAACGCGTTGGCGCGGCGGCGACCCCAGCGCGGTCGCTCACGGTTGAACGACGCCGTTGGCCCAGAATCGGCCGACATCGAAAGATTGGCGATGCCAGAAAGCCGCGATCGTGGAAGCTCGAACCACCCACGCGGTGTGGGCAACCAACGGCCAAGTCGACGTTAGGGCCCCAGGGGTTCTTGTGGCTCGCTCGGTTTGGCTGATTCGCGGTGGGCGTTCAGCCTGCTCGGTTTGCTCGATTGCTGGGCCGCTCTGCGCCACTTTTGACCCGTCCGCTTCGGTCGTCTTCCGTTTCGCTATCGCCATCAGCCAGTCCCGTGCACGCTCGTGCGCTGCCGCTCACGCGCGCGCCATGCCAGGCCCCGACGGCCTCCTCATCAGGAGCGACATACAGGCGTACGCGCACATGAGTTCACACTGGTTTCGAGAGAGCGCGTTGCGCGAGCGTTTGTGACAAGATGGCGCTTTCGCCAATCTGAGGGGGGCATATTCAATCAGTGGCAAATCATGGAAGCCTTGTGCGTATGTCTTTGCAACTCCGTCTTCAGAGTGCACCAGCGTACGATGGCGCCTGGCAGTCGATCAGAACGCACTGACCTAGCGTCGATGAGCGTGGACCGGCATCGATCAGTGCCGATTCGCGAGAGCCAGCAAGATGGCATGGGAGGCCGCCACGAGCTGCCACGGCATTTACCAGTTTGACACACACCCCTATCTCTGTGTTTGGCATCCCCTCACCTCGATGCCGATCTTAAGGATCCCCTCTGCTTCTGAGGGCACATCCCTGAGACTGTCCTCGCTTTTTGCTCGCCCACCGTAGGGATAGAGATGAGTTCGAGGCTGGTTAGGAATCTAGACATGCGACGGTCTGATTTTTTCAGAACGGGGTTCCTGGAAGTCCCGACCCTTTCCCTGCGTGGGACCGGTTTTTCGTCCTGTGTCGTTTTTTGGCGCCCCCGAGGCCCGCAGGGGAACCTGAGGCCGAGATTGGCCAAAAACCCCTCGTCCTGAATTTTTGCGACGCGAGCATGTCTGGGAATGCTCATGCCCTTTGCGGGGCGCGTGCGTCCTTGCGGGGCCCCCTGCCCCACAGGCGCCCCGCGCCCGCGCCCCGGCCTCCGCTGGCCGCCCCGGGCGGCGGCAGGGGCGTGGCGGCGGGCGGCGGCGACAGCGGCGCCGGCCCCGAGGCCGCCGTCGAGGCCCCCGGGGGGGTGCTCGGCCCCGGTCGTCGTGCGCTGTCGGTGGCCCGCCGTCGTCGTCGTCCTTCGCCCGCTCGTCCGTCGCCTCCGTCCGTCCGTCCGTCGTCGCCGTCGCCGTCGTCGTCGCCGTCGCCGTCGTTTTCGTCGTCGTCGCCGTCGCCGTCGCCTCCGTCGTCGCCGTCGCCGTCCTTGTCCTTATCGTTGTCGTCGTCGTCGTCGTCGTCTCGACGAGCCGAAATCCTTCACATCAGTAATTTTGGGTCTCGGAGCCCACGGCGGTTTTTCATGTTTTCCATTCGACGTTCCATGAAGCCCGATGTCATTCCGAGGCCGCGCGTCGAACGTTTTCGATGGCGCGTCGCGTTATGCGATGTCACGTGCGTTGGGGTCGTCAAAGGCTTGCGTGCTTGTTGCGGATCGGTTGATGTGGGCTGGGGTTTCTCAGGATTGTACATTTGCTTTGCGCTGGGGCGGTTTCGACCCCCATCCCTGGCTGATCCACCCCGCGGGTAACGTCGCAGGAAGAGTTCGATCATTTCGTTCGTAGTGCCAGCGATGCTGTCGCGGACATTGACCGCGCCACGGGGGGGGGTCGTCCAGAAATTTCCTACCATATTGCAGTGTTGGTTCTTCGTTTTGAAGAGACACCGCCCCGCGTCATTCCTTCCGGCCCCCTCCCTCGTCCTCCCTCTTCGCGTATCTGCCCCTGCTTTCCGCGTGTCTCCGTCGTCATCGTCCATCGTCATCGTCGCCATCACCATCATCATCAGCATCATCAGCATTCTCGCCGTCTCCATCATCAATACCACCACCATCCTCATCAACATCATCAAAACACCCCCCTTGTTCCCCCGCGTCGCTGCTTCGCCACATCCCCCGCAAATCTCGTGGCCTTGTGAGGTGCTCCACCGAAAGCCCCATCGGCAGGGTCCTTAGTGCGCCGCCCAGCCCATGTCGGCACGCCCCTCAGACGCTTCGTGTCCCCATGAGGAGTTCATCGGAGGTCCCGGCGGCAAGGTCCACATGCCGTCGCCCAGGCCACATTGATGACACCCTCGAACATTTCGTGCCCTTATAGGCAGCCCCCCAAAAAAAGGTCCCAACGGCAGGTTTCCCAGGCCGCCGCCCAGCATAGTTCGGCATACGTTTCACACGCCTCGTGGCCCCACGGGGAGCTACACCGACGGCCCCACAGGCAGGGCCCACAGGCCGCCGCCCAACCCATTCCGTCATACGCTCACAAGCTTCGTGGCCCCATTGGGGAGCACCCCCGATGGCCCAAACGACAGGGTCCACATGCCGTCGCCCAGCCAATGTCGTCCACGAGTGGCGCCCAGCACGGCTCCAAGAGCGCCCCAAGAGGCGCCGAGTAAGTTGCACCCTCATGCAAATATGTTTTGTCACTTGTGGGGGTCCTCTTGGGGCCCTCTTGGAGCATTCTTGGGGCCCTCTGGGAGCGTTCTTGGGGCTTTCCCGGGGCCCCAGTGGGCCCTCGGAGGGCCCCAAGAACGTCCCCCGAGGGCCCCAACAGGGACCCCCCAAAGTGGTACAAAGAATTCGCGCGAACGTGCACTCTGTTGTAGGCCTTTCGGGGCCCTCTGGGAGCTCTCTTGGGGCCCCCATTGGTGGCGCCTTGGGGCCTTGGGATGGCTCCAAGAGGCTTCGGGATTGCCCCAGACCGCCACAAGACAGCTCCGAGACGGCCGTCGAGCACCACGGGTGAAAGCAAGTGAGGCTAGGGAACAGGGCCTCTGGTAAGCCGCCACTGCGCCCCCTGGACTACCCAGACAGCGAGGGGACCTGAAACGCCCTGGGGCTCCAGGGGCCCCAGATTAGTGAAGTGAAGGTTTTTGCCATGCAAGCACCCCGAAATTCTTCACTTCACTAAACCGGACCCAGGACGAACTCGCTACGCTCCAGTCCCGCGGGAGATCCAAGACTCCCGCCGCCGCCCGGGGACGTTGCTGCATTGCGGTGCTCTGGTCACTGTTAATGGCTTCCGCGGGCTGCAGCGGCTCACTTCCATGACTACCCCGACTCACGAATCCAGTGGTTGGTCTGGCTCTATGGGTTGGTTTCGTTGTGTCGGTTGATTTTATGCTTGGTTGGCGGTCGGTGGATTTCGCGTTGTTCATTGGTGTCGTGAAGTGATTTGTCGTTTGGTTGGTCAGTGCCGTTTTGTTGATTCGTGCCGTTTTGTTGGTTGGTGTCGTTTCGTTGGTTGGTGTCGTTTTGTTGCTTGGTGTCGTTTTGTTGCTTGGTGTCCTTTTGTTGGCCGGTGTCGATTTGTTGGTTTGTTGGTTGGTGTCGGTTTGTTGGTTGGTGTCGTTTTGTTGCTTGGCGTCGTCCTGGCGGCGTGGCCGATAATCGGCGGCCTGCAATGGCGCCAGGATTTGTTTCGGGCCAGCCTTGATCGCCCTCATCATTCTCATATTCGTCAGCGTCAGCACTCGTCGCCCCCATCCGCGCACACATGCGGCCCTGGTACGGCTCTCACGCGGCCCTGCGAAGGCCTTCACTGTGCTCCCCAAAGCTTTCTGAGGGGCCCCCCAGAGGCCCCAAGAGGGCACTGGAAATTGTCGCTTCCAACTCCGCCAGGCGGAGGTCAACAAGGGTCTCACTGGTGCACTTCCAGGAATCGTCGTTCGATCCTCTTGGGGCCCTCCTGGGGCCTTCTGGAGCCGTCTTGGAAGCTCCGAGCGGCTCCATGAAGGCGCCGGGCGATATCGCTTCCAATTCCGCCAGGTGGAGTTAGACCAGGGGCTCACTGAGGCCCCTTTTTGCGCCCTCCTCTGCCTTTGAAAAAGCCCCGATGGGGTTCTTCAGTGCCGTCTTAGGGCCCCTAAGAGGCCTCCAGTAGGGTATTGAAGTTATCGCTTCCAACTCCGCCACGCGGAGTTGAACCCAGGGCGGCTCTCTATGGCCCTTTCGGGGCCTTCTTAGAGCTTTTCTGAGGCCCTAAGTGGGCCCTGGGAGGTGTCATTTTCACGGGCGTTGAAAGTGACACCGCGGAGGGCCCTCTTGGGCCCTTCTTGGGGCCTCTCTTGGGTCCCTCTGGGAGCCCTCTTGGTGCCGCCCTGGGGCCTTCTCGGGGCCTTCTTGGAGCCTTTCTGGTGCTCTTTAAGTGGGCCCTGGGAGGTGTCACTTTCACGGGCGCTGAAAGTGACACATCGAAGGGCCCGCTTTCCCTCGTAGCGCTGCCCGTGGCCGGGGCATTGTGCAGCGCATCCCTCGTCGAACGTATTTTGTCGGACGCGTGGTCGAATTCCGCCAGTTCGGTCGAGATGGTGGTCAAGCGGTTCGGTTGCAATGTAGCCATGCGGATCTGAGCTTACCATTTCTTGCCATGTTGGCGGGGATCGCAGGAGCGTTTGTGTTGTGATCAACTGTGCTCGATATATCCAGCGGCAGCGTTTCATCCCAATATATTATTTTGAGAAAAGTCAGCAGGGGCCAAATTGCTGATGTGAAGCAACATAAGTCTCGTATCGTCGTCGTCGTCGTCGTCGTCGTCGTCGTCGTCGTCGTCGTCGTCGTTGTCCCAAGGCCCCTGGCGGCGCGCTGCTCTGCGGCCCTGGCTGCCCAGTCGAGGCTGACGGCGGCGGGGCGGGGAGGGCCGCGCTGAGGGCGGCGAGGGCAAGAAGGGCGGAGAGAGCGAGGGCGGCGAGAGCGAGGGCGGCGAGGGCAGGGAGGGCGGGGAGGGCGAGGGCTGCCCGGCCGAGGCCGCTGATGCTGACGAGGGCCGTGCTCTGGTGATGCTCCACGCCATCCCGGACGAGTGGACGCGCGCGACGGTGGTGGATTTCCTTCACTGCCGGGGCGCCGAGGGCAGGTGCTCGGAGGAGGGCTAGCCGAGGCAACAGTAGCAAATCGTATGAGCCTTGCGTGCCCTTGTAGTGCCGTCTTCGAGAGCGCATCAGCGTCGATTAGCGTCTAGCAGACGATGAGGTATGGCCGATCTAGCATCGATAAGGGTCGATTCGCAAGAGCCAGCAAAATGGTACGGGAGGCTCCCACGAGTTGCCACAAAACTCAGGGGGCCCAGTCGTCGTCACGGCTGGACGCAGCTCGGAAAATTAGCGCGCGTGGACCCTTGGAGGGGTCTGAGGACCGATTTTGAGCTGCCGTTGTCTCACCTCGCCCAGCTCCGAGGTACAACTTCGTGTACCTCCCGATGGACTTCTCGCGTGGCAGATGCCTCGGGTACGCCCTCGTCAACTTTTGCGAGGCGGCGGACGCCGCCAAGCTGCTCCAGGACATGTCGGGCGAGCTGCCCAGCGAGGCCCCCGCGGCGGGCGTCGCGGGTGCCTCGCCTCGTGCAACTTGGAACGAGCCTTCGTACAGCGTGGAGGAGCTCGGGTAGGCCCAGGACCAGGATGAATCGCTCCAGCGCGTCCCGGAACGCTCTCAGAGCGTTCCCGAACGCTTTGGAACGGCCGCGGCGCCCGATACATCCTCCAGAGCTGCTAGGTCTCAGAGATCCCCGATTTATCCTGTTTCGATTTGATCCGTGTCCTGGCCTCGTCTCAGGAGCTGGTTGAGAAGTACCGGAACAGCCCGGTGATGCACTCCACCGTGCCGGAGGAGTTCAAGCCGCTGCTGTTCGAGAAGGGCCGGCGCTTGGCCTTCCCGCCGCCCACGAAGGCGATCCGGCCACCCCGCATCCGCCACTCCAAGGCGGCCAGCGACCCACGGCAGCGTCCCGCTCGCGCCTGACGGTGCTGCGAGTCGCCGGCCGAGCGGTCCCCGTCCAGGGCGGGGATCTGTCCGGATTGGCGGCGAGCCAAAGGGGGGGGGGAATTGAGAGGCAGGGCTGGACCTGAACGGTGTTTTGGCGATTTCGTGGGCCGTTTTCGTTTCGATTCGGTTTTGCGTTAACGGCGGATTGAAGACAAAACGAGGGAAAACGAAAACAAAACGGAAACGAAAAAAACACCGTTTAGGTTCAGCCCTGGTGAGAGGGGGCAGGCCTTCTCAGAAGGCGGCGGGGTTTCTCAGAGGCCCTCTGGCCTCCTGGGAGGCCGTCTCCGTCTTCGGAGGGGGCTCAGAAAGTTTCTCAGAAAGCGCGACGGTTTCTGAGACACCCCGCCGCCTTTACAAAGGCCTGCCCCCTCTCACTTCCCCCCTGGGCCCGCCGCCGACCATAGTCACCGCCTGTGGGATGGACCTTTGGGGACCTCGGCAGGCGGTGGATATGGCTATAATTACTCGGGCCCTGGGGGGGGCATACATATATGTGTATATATGTATATATATATATATATATATATATATATATCCACGTCCACATCTACAGCCTACCGAGTTCCCCGAAGATCGATCCCACAGGCCTTGGTTCTGGACAAGTCCCCGCCTCGCACCCCGGGGCCGCAAGCCCCTGTGCACACGCGCGTCATCCTCTGCGGTAGCGCCTCTGCTGAGGAGCAGCGGGCGCAGACCATTTGAAACACATGAGTGGGCTGCAGTGTGTTCCCCATCTCCGAAGGATGGGGTCCGTGTTGCTCAAGAGGCTCACGCCATTTCGCCGACCCCCAGACGGGGCGAGATCTGCACGTGGCTCGTCAGGTGCATGGAGGAGCTGCAGGGGCTGCTATCGGCTCGGGTCCGAGGGCCGCGTCCACTGGAGGATCTGGAGACGGTTTTTGGAAGGGGTGAATGATCAGCAGGGCGCCCGTTTAGCATCATGAGGAGGGGGAAGATGGAAGCACATCGTGAGTGCGTTCAGGGCAGAGGCCAAAGATGTTTCAGGCGAGGCGGTGGCTTTCGCATCCTATATCCTAAGGACTGGGGCTCTTGTTTTACCCCGTAGTTTAAGGATGCGGTTCTCGTTATCACTCCGACCGCGCCGAGTCCTCGCCAACACCTTCTCCACCTCCTCTCCTCACTCAGACTCACACGCCCGACGATGACGACGATAAAGCTAACGATGATGTTGGTGTTGTTGCTGTTGATCATGATGTTGCTGATGATGTTGGTGTTGACGATGATGTTGTTGATGCTGATGCTGATGATGATGCTGCTGCTGATGATGATGATGATGTTGATGAAGCTTATGACGATGATGATGATGATGATGATGATGATGATGATGATGATGATGATGATGATGATGATGATTGTGGCGATGACGATGATGACGATGATGACGATGACGATGACGACGAGACTGATGCTACATATAATGATACTGATACTGCTACTGATACTGATACGGATGCTGATGATGCCGATGATGATGATGATGATGTTGATGCTGATGCTGCTGATGGTGATGATGATGATGCTGATGATGACGATGACGATGACGATGACGATGATGGTGCTTGTAGTGTTGATGATGCTGAGCAGGATGATTGTGTTGAGGATGCTGGGGATGCTGGCAACACTGATGACGATGACGTTGGCATTCACAGTTACTCATACTCATAATCACAATCAGGGTCATTACCCAGGTTATGATCTGATGGTGGTGACGATAATGATGATGCTTTTGTTGATGATGATGATGATAATGGTAATGATGATGATGCTGCTGATGATGATGAGGATGATGCTGATGATGATGGCGATGACAATGTTGATGCCGTTTGTGTTGCGATGATGATGACGATGATGATGATGATGCTGATGCTGATGAGGATGAGGATGAGGATGAGGATGAGGATGATGGTGATGATGGTGATGATGGTGATGATGATGATGATGATGATGATGATGATGACGGTGATGGTGATGGTGAGGGCGATGGTGATGACGACGGATCAGATTATGAGGATGCTCGGTGAGGCACTGATTTCAGCCCCCCCCAAGTGGGACCGCCAGGAGGTATCCCTTTCCTCCGTTCGCGCCCAGATTTGGAGGACGTCTCGAGCGGTTCGCCTGTTTGCTGAAGAAGCATCCTCCGCTTCCGGAGCACATGTTGAGGACGTCTCGGGCGAGAATGCGGGATTGCTTCGCTCGCGAGTTTGATGGAGCACACGGCCTCGTCCAGGAACAGCGGGGTACCATGTTTGATTTCTTGTTCGACACGCATGACCAGATGAACTAAAACACGTGCCCGGGGCAAGATTTTCAGGCCGCGCTTTTCCCCGGCGGACATTTCGCTGCAGGTCGACGATTTCGAGCAGGCTCCCACGTAGAAAAGTTCGGGGACCACGTGGACAACGAACACCAGGCTGCAAATGAGATGACTGCTCGCGGCTTGTTCTGCATGCTTCCGACGGAGGCCACCGTCATTTGGGAGGCGTCACTCGTGGCGCACATCGCGAATCGTTTCGGTGTCATGCTCTCGCACGTCAACTACCTGACGACGACGGCTTCGCCGGGTCTGATGGTACGCGGCGCAGTTACCGTCGACTGCGCGCACTAGGAGCCCCAGGGACAGCGCGGCGTTGACGAGAATACATGTTGGCCGACCCTCTATGTGGTGCTTTCCCGCGCCATCCAGATGGCGGACATGCTGCTGGCGAGACCGCCCCCTCCATGGCCGCTGGAAAGAACGCTTCGAACGCCCCTGGACGCTCCGAGAAAAAGGAGGCTTCAACGGTGGAGAGAGTCTTGCCGAGAAACATCAGATGGCGCTGCCAGAAGAAGGGTAGCTGCTTTAGCCACGTACTGCCCAATGCCATGCGCGGGCGGTCTTGGAGGAGCTGGCTCACAGGAGCACCCCGGGCAGTTTTTCGACTGCCGTTGCACGAGCGCGACCGTGCTGCCCGCCCGGCGCCGAATATGCATTTGCCCAGCTTCCCGCGCGCCCAGCCCCGCACGGCTGGGCCCGGCGGCGTTTGCCGACGACGCTTTCGTTCTGGTGGAGAACAGGACGCGTTGTGGCCGCTAGGGAATCGAGCCGCACGGCCCCCCCTTCGCCCATGTGCCCTTGCTGGGGTTGCCGCAGTTCGCTCCGCCAGCGAGACGCCGGCGCGTGAGCTTCAAGCGCGAAGCCGCGAGCGAGCACTCTCTCCCGCGAGGTGCGTCGCGCGAGATGTCTGCGCGAGCCGCCGACGCACGAAGTGCAGGTGCCTCGCGCGGCCTTAACATTTCGCGCAGCCGCGTCGAGTGGTCCCGCTCGGTCATGTTCAGGCCACTGACGCGGGCGTTCACTCACCCGAAGCGAAGCCATGTCCAGACTCTCCTGCGTTGACCTACTCGTAAGTCGCCGAGATTCATTTTCGCTGGAAGTCATTCGCGCTCGAATTCGCCCACCGCTCGACTCAATACCAGTCTGTTAGGCGAAATCCCTTGCGCCGAGGCGCTCGCGGGGGAGCGGCCCGTTTACGCGGGGCCGATCGTGGCAATCTGTTTTCAGCGGCTCTTGCATCCGCAGCGGCGCAGCCGCGACTGTGGCGCAGGGGTCCGCTTGGCGTCGGACGGGCGCTGCATGCGCGCCTCGGGCGCCATGGTCAGCTTGGCCGCGCCCTGGGCGAGCAGCGCGCCCGCTCCGCGGCGCCTGAGCGGGCGCAGGCGGCGCTCGGCGGCACATCGGAGGCTCGCAAGGCGGAGCTGTGGAACTTGTGGGAGGCCGCGACGCCGGAGGCGCGGGGGTTTTCGAGCCGGAGGGGCGGGGGCTTGGGAGGCCGCGAAGTCAGCGAAGCCGGAGTTTCGGGAGTCCCCAATCCGTCGAGCAGGAGCCGCGGTGGCTCGCGGGAGGCCGCGAAGGCAGCGAGGTTGGTGGTCCGGGAGTTGACGAGCCTGGAGTTGCGGGAGATCGCGGGAGGCCGCGCGCGTGGAATTCAGGCGTCCGCAGGCGGGCCTAGGGTTGAGATGAGGGCAAGCGGTGGCTAGCAGCCGCGCGCTGGTACACTGCGCGACTCCGCGGGCGAGAATTTGTCATCCGATGGCTAGACGTGCGCGGCGCGAGAGCGCGCGGCTGCGATGGCCATCTCCGCGGAGCGCTGGCGCGTTTCAAATTCGTCGTTTGCGCTCTGCAGGGTAGACGACTCGGTTTCTTTCTGCGCGGCTGCGCAGTGTGCGGCCGCGCGAATTCACGGCGTCGCGGCTTGCGCGAATTCGCGGTTTTTTTCTGCATTCGTTGCAGGGCGAGTAGCGGAGTAACTCTGCGATGCCGAGTCCTACAGCTGCGCGTTTTCACGTTGCGCAGCTGCGGAGCGCGCGACTGCGCGACAGACGTGAATCATTCGAAACTGGGCGATCGGTCGACCCAATGAATGATTTCCGTGGCGTCGTTAACCTTGCGCCGACTCGCCGCGGCGAGAAACAAACGGCCGCGCCGCCAAAAGGTGGCGTGCGAAGAGCTTGCCGGCATTCGCTCGAGGTAGACATGGAAAAAGCCCCCCTTGGGAGCGGGCCAAGGCGCGCGACGCGAACGGGGCCATCACGGCGCTCGGCGCAATATGCAAGGCTGGGGTGCGCCGCCAGAGGGCGAACCTCGGGATCGCGGGGTCGGCCGACGATTTTGGGCTTGCCTGCGCGGCGAGCAGGGCCACGTCGACCGAGCGTCCTCTGGCGGTCGCCCTCGTCGAGCGGTTGGAGGATCTGAGGTGGCGCGAGGCGGCGCTGAACCCAGTCAGGCTGCCGCGCGAGGAGAGCCAGGTGGCGGGCGACCCAGGCAGCGCGAAGACGTCCGACGTCGACGAGCCCCCCAGGACCCGCGCGGCGGCAGCGGACCTGAAGAGGCACGTGCTCGACGAGATGGCCCAGGCCTCCCAGGGGCTCTACGAGTCGATCGCCGAGGAGGGCGGCCGCCGACCGCTGGGCGCCCCCGCGGGGCGCGGCCGGAAGGGCCCGGGTGGCGCGCGCCTGACGCCGGAGGGCAGCACCGCCCAGCACGTCGTTGA